GTCTCGGCCGCCTCTGCCCTCGGGCCCCCGCGGCCTACTGCCTCCTCCCGCCCCCCAAATGAAGCGTCCTGAGCTCCCTGCCCACAACCCAACTACAGGGATGGGTGCTGGTCCTGCCCCACCTCTGGCCTCCCCCCAGCGCTCTGCTTCAGGCAACACAGCTACAACCAGGAACCTTCAATCAGCCATCGTGGCTCCTGCCTCCTCGGTCCCAGGCAGTTTGGGGATGAGGGGGAGAAATGGGCCAGGACCCTGCTTGAGCTCAGTCACAGGACTAGGAATGGGAGCGTGGGGCATGGATACAGCATAGTCCACAGCTCAGGGGTGAGATGGTTGAAGCTTATCCAGATTTCAGCTGCTTGCTGTCAGGGAGCAAGACCAGAGCTGTGCCAAGCAGGAAAACAACCCAGGAGCTGAAGGCACCTGCAGCACAGGCAGGACAGTGCCCTTAACTAACAAGCACTTGGGCAGGGTGCTTAAGAGGTCTCACTAACAGTCCCAGACAGGGCAAAAGCAGTGAGTCAGGTCTGGGTCCATCCAAGGAACTCCAGAGACAAAACTGCCTACAATATACACTTAGAGTCCCCCTGGGAAAACCAGTCCGTAAGTGAAGATCTTAGACAAGTGAAGACAGGTACACCTTCTGCATAGCTCAGACCAGGTCTGAAGGCTTGGGCCTGAGCCTAAATGGAGTTCCTGGCTCATGGGTAGCAGGTGTGGGTGAGACCAGTCACAGAAATTTCAGCCTATTTGTGCATGCTCTTAAGAGGGGCTGCAACATATGCACAGAAGGATGCAGTGATGTGAGGTATCTGGTCTGCAGGGCTACATGTTTAAAATATTCTTTGTTCTTTATTTGTTACATATTTCAGCAAGAGCCCAACGATCATTCAAAATCTGAAGTGAAGGAATCTAGCATACCACCAGCTGCTGAACCACCTGAGGACCAGACACCTCTAGTTGAATCCCTGTCATCACTGGATGACTGGTGAAAACACCAGCATCTGCAGACCAGCCGTCTGTAGTGGAACTGCCAGTGTCTGCAGACCAGCTGGTTGTTGAGAAACCACCAGGTTCTGAGGACCAGTTACCTGTCATTGAACTTCCCTCAACCAGAGGAAACTCACATAAGATCAGATCACCTGCCAGGTTTCAAAGTCGAGATATACATGTCTGACTCTGCACAGACTGGCAGCGAAACACCTGAGGCTGGGTCATCGGCAACTGTAGTCAAGCCAACAGACACTACATGTGAAATATTGGAGCAGCCAATGGTATATGAAGACCCCTTTGAAGTCTCCGTTAAGTACATGGAGAAACATAATATTCTGCAGATATTTCAGGTGAAATATCCTTTTTTTTCTTCTCCCTTCAGAGGCTTCCTTGAGAAGCTGGGCCTAAATTTAGCTTGGACCAAATTATTCCTCCCCCAGATCCCTCTTTGTCCTGTGCTTTCTTAAGCATAAACTTAAGCAAAGCAGTAGAAAAGGACCCTTGATCATATTTGGGGATTGAAAGAGATGCTTGCTTTTTAAGATGCAGCTAGTGTTGAAGCAGAAAGTGCAGCCACCCATCTACCCAAGGATCAATACTTCTTTCCTTCTGTCTCTCTTTGTCTCAGGAGATCACAGAAAAACTGGTGTACCACAAGCCTGATGACCCCTTGCAGTTCATCCTGCTGCAGGTATGGTGTCTTCTTGGGGCTCAGTGGGGACTGTCTGTTGGGGCCGCAGCAGAAAGCCAGCTATGCTGAGCACACCAGAAACATGGTCAACCCGTGACTATTTATCTTACTGTGTCTGCTCACTTGGGATGAGAAAAGCACAGAGCAAGAGCAAAGTGCCCAGGGTGCAAGGAACCACATGTGCTCTAAAAGGAGAGGGAAGAGAGGTGTGGGAGGGCAGGTATGTGGAAAAGCCGGGTGTGAGGGGCAGAACGGGGTGGATGTGCTCCAGAGGACTGTTATTTGAGAGGTGAAGGAAGCTTAGGGACAGAGGTAGGGCCCCTCTCTCTCCCTGTGACCCTTCTCCAGCTCCCTCTGTCCCACACACCCCTATTCAGGAGAGCTGTCTCTGCTGATCCTGCAGGGTTGTAACACACAGGAAATTCAAAGTCAGCAGAGTGAGGTGATAGTTTGGAAGTGAGTTAGAAGAAGTGTGGGGAGCTCCTTGGGGAAAGGAGGAGGTCAGAAGAAGGAGCAGACAGAGAAAGAGAGTCTTTTTCTTGAATGCCCTCTAGTCAGTCAGGGGAAGCACCATCTTGGTGATTTGCTGTGAGGTTCGTGCTGTACTGAATGCAGAACCAGCAGAGGAATGGCAAGGTCAGTTCTGGGTGCCAGTGGTAATAGACTCCCAGACAATCCTTTTCCTTTTGCCCAGGTGCAGTCTATGATGAATGCCAGGCAGGCAAAAATGGAGGGAATATTGGAAGAGAATGAAGATACCGACGTGTTTCTGGAAGAGGTCTCGTGCACTCCTTTTGACTCCTACTGACCTTGCTATTTTGGTATCGCATGGGGCCTTCACAGCACCATGCTTTTGTAATCAGCAGTAGCTTGGAACAGGTCTGCTTGTATCTCTGTTTCCTGATTTTTCTGTTCTGTGTGCTTGTGCTTCCCCTTGGGTTTAAATCCTGCAACCAAGTATTGGTTTGGTCGCACAAACTCAAATCTTAAAGCGTGTGTGGACCTGCATGCACATACAGCACGTCTTGAAGAGGCAGGGTTGCTGAACTCTGCAGTCTCTGCATACAAATGCATAAATCCCACATTTAGGCCACCTGTAGATTCTGCTTTTCTGTGCAGGAAAACTTCATGTCTCAGACAATGCAAGCACAAAAGCAAATAGAATTAAAAAGCAGCCCTGGACGACCCACAGTCCTCTCTTTTTTCATGATGCATTGGTGCCTTACTGTCTCCAGCTATGCAGCAGCACCAGTGCCCATCTCATACTTTGAGAGGCTGGGTCTGTGGCTTTCCCACTGCCCCCAGGGCTCCTCTGATGCAAGAAACTGTCTCTCTGCCTCTTCCACACACTGGGCACAGCTGCCTTACCCTTAATCATCCCTGTTGGGTTCCAACCACTCTGCTTTTTGGGGTTGCCCTGCTTATATCATTGCAAGTACAGTGTATATTTTGATAAACTGAAGCAACAGTTGCATGCACCGTCTGGGGCTTCAGAAGGCATTGTCACTCAGGAATGTGGGAGGTGAATAAAACCAAACCAATGAACAAAAAAAGCACTGGTAGCCCAGGAAATTCAGAGTCAAGGTACACTTTGCAAAAACGTAATTCAAACTGCTTTTGATTCTCAAAACACAATCCTCATTTTTGTACTATCCAAGTGTCTGCTTCTTTCCCTGTAAAGAAAGATGGTCTTTCTTTTTCTTGTCTCTTGCCTGAAGATTATTGAAAATGTGCAACAGAGCATACTGTTATTTTGGCTTCATTTCATCTGTATGTACAGTAGATGCCAGAAAGTTTTTTGTCGCTACAGACTTTTCTCTTTTTTAGGCAAGTGCTCTAATTTTCTGACGGATGGTAGTGTATTCCCAAATGGCTGTCTCTATGTCTGTGAAGAGAGCACCATAGAAACTTATCTTCCATCTATCTAATTTCAGCTAGAAGTCTGATGATTAGGTTGTGTGATACACCACAGCAGAGCTTGAGCCCGAAGAGTCTGTGAATAACAGAGGCAAATATTTGGCATACAAATTCTGTGTCTGAAAAAAGTTGCCTTTCTACCTCAGGTTCTCAAAAAAGATGAGTTAACTCATGTGTTTCCAGGCTAAAGGCAGATAATCACCCCTGTCATTCAGGACAGGAAGGTTTTCAAGGTTATTGTGAGCCTAAAGATGGCTCAAGATTCAGACAAAATCTTCATGGGTTTTATAAGAAGTCTGATGTAGACTTAGGCACCTAGGTCCTGCAGTGAGATGCTTTGGAAAGCCTTACTTTCTTAAGCAACTGGAAGAATTGGACACTTAATGATAACAGACTGGTTTTGATCCTGATATATTTTTGATCAAGAATTTATAAGCATCCCTGTGTACACATGCCCTGTGAATGTGAAAGAAGTGCTAATGCATCTCTGTGAAACAGGGAATGCATGGAAGATGAAGATAGCGGCTGAAGTCTTTTCACCTCTATGGTGATTTGTTTTCCCAAGAGATGGAGAAGTTGGCATGTCTTTGAATTTTCTTGTGGAACAGGATTAGGGTGATTCTGGGTACAGCCTTAGCTGTGAATTTCCTGCTTCTATCATTTGTGTATTATATTTTGTTGTTCTCTTTTACTTATGAAAAAACTTTGGGCTTGTGGTATGTTCTCGGACTATAGGTCTGTGCCCTCAACTTCATGTCAGCATTAAGGGAGTTATGCAAGGAAATATCCTTAATTTCTCTTTCAGATAAGTTGAAGTGAGATTGAAAGTAGCCTTTTTACAGATGACAGAAGAAAGAGAGGCCCTACCCAGTGTTCCTCAGCAATCGTGGGGCCAAAATTTTCCTTTCGTGGCCTGGCCACCTTATCTCATGCTAATAAATTTGCTCCATGGTAGCAAGAAGTCTTCCACAGTGCATGTAAGAGAACTGATCAGATCTGAGCAAGGGCTTTGACCTTGGGGAACTCATCATGAGCTGAGGAGAAATGTCACCTCCTTCTCCTCAAGCACCTCAAATGTTTGGATTGTGTTTTGAACTGCATTTTTTCAAGGGAAAAAGTTCCAGGACTTAGTTTAATGAAAACAAAAAAGCATCCTCCAGAAGGTGTACAGGTTATTGTGTAACCTAGTGCCACACAGCTGTCCTTTTTGATTTGCTTCAAAAATATACGGCATGGCTTTTGAAAAATCCTACCTCACGTTAAGGCACTAATGCACCACTGCTGTTTGTGTGTATGAAGGCTTTTCTGTGGTGAAGAAATGGAGAAAAGTTATGTTTAAAATGACAATATTTATTGTAGTCGTAATTCCAGAATGACTGTCCCTTTTCCATAATTTCTTTCCCAAACCATTGGATCTGTGTTTCTTCTTCATAAGTGGACATTTATCAACATAACATTAAACTGTCATTCAATTTCTTGCCTTGGGTGCTCTGAAGGAATTAACAGTTGAGTGTGTGTAACCGAAACTATTCCATATAAGTCCTTATAGCACACTAGTCACAGTATATTTGAATGTCCTCCAGTAGTGTGCTAAGCAACGTGACTAACATCTGTTGTTTGTTCTTTCTCCTCTCCACAAGGGACATGTCTGTGCACTGAAGTGCATTCTTTTTAAGAGGGTGGTTTGTTTTTTTACCCACACCTGTGTACTGCTGTGTCCTTGTAATGGATAGGGATAGGTCATGGAGTGGAAGGTGAGGAGGTTGGAGGCAGTTTGTAGTTCTCAAGGGTGTTTCCTCTGTAGTTTGAGCTGGGCACTAAGAAAGTGCAGTATTTTCCCAGGCGAGATTTCTTGTTGACCCATGGACTGGCACAGAAGCGTGACATCCAGTTCAGCTGCCAAATAGCGTGAACTTGTGGTGTGCAGACCGTTTCTGTTATGAACCTTGTCCTCCCCCAGAAGCAGGATGTGGAGGGGCCAACCAGAAGGAAAGTGTACTCAAGGTGTCTTTTGGATCAAAACATCAGTTTCTTTTTCTTTCATCTCTGTATGGAATTTAAAATGACTCAGATGCCCCAAGCAATACTAAAGTTGCCTGTGTACTGCAACCAACTGATGAAAAAAAAAAAAAAAAAAAAGGTTGTAACTGCTGATTAAAGATCCTTTGAAAAGTTCACAGAGACTGCTCTGCTTCTTCGATAGGCAGAGGGCAGAACAGGATAGCTCTTCAATGGCCAACTACTTACAGCATGAGACATTTCACTGTGACTCACTGCTACATAACACCAATGTTTAATGCCACTGATTTCAAAGTTTCACAATCACGTGAAACTCGAAGTAGGCAGCAGTAACTATTCAGAGCTTGCATGTCTGAAATGGAAGAAACTAACCTCTGGGTAGAGCCTGACAAAGAGCTTCACGCAAGACAGAGCTCAAGCTAAAGAATGTGGGAGAATGTGGGAGTGCTTAGAAAGGGAATATACTGGGGCAAATTGATCAAACCCTGTCTGACATGCCTTCAGGTTGTATTCAAGGAAAAGCTTCTCTTGACCATTCTTTCCACCAGATGAAATGCAGAAGAAAAAGAAGAAACATTCCCTTAAGGTCAGGCATCAATATCCATGGCTGCATTCCTTTTTTGGGACCTCCTTCATAGACAACATTGGTGTAGCAGCATCACCAAAAGTTTGTGGCCGTGTCTCAACATGCACAAATGAAAAGGGGAACCTTGAGTTGTTGAAGTGGCATGGGTTGGATCAGGTTGAGTCACTTGCCATCTTCTCCTGGGGAAAGATGGTGGGCTGGAATGTCACTGCAGAACAGCTGATGTTAGGCAAAGCAATCCTAAGAGATTTCTATACGCATAATTCAAGAGTGGAAACGGACTGCAGACGCTGCAGGAGCTGGTCTGTATTACAAATGCCTGGTCGGAATGAATGGAGTGGCTCTTCCTTTCTCCCTCAAGGAGATCATCTCAATTCCCCATGCAACTCCTTACAGGAGGGAAGACCTCGCTCACCCTCCTTTGTCCAGACCATCAGGCACTAGGAAGGTCATTTCCATGGCATATTCATCCAGGAGTCTGGGGTAAACTTTCTATCTTCCAGTGCAGAAAATAGAAGAAACTGCCAGTGTCATTTAATAAACTGCAGTAAAATAATACCAAGGAAGAAACAAACTATGAGATGGACTCACTGGCATTTTTTTGCTGTTATTTACTTTGAGAGCAAAATTCGCCTCTTGTTCATGTCACTCATTAAATTGTCAAGAGATGGATGAACACGGGGCTACACAGAGCTGGACTAATGAAGGTGCACCAGCTCTCTAGCACATTTCATAAAGTAAAAAGGTAGTCAGTGTAGGTGAGGGAGTGCAACACACAGTTTACACTGGCCATGAAAACTTCACTATAGACTTACAAGCCTTTAAGGCAAATGTCTTATTTGGAATCACCTGGTCCAACACTTAAAAATTCTTATGAACTAGGAGCCAGGATCCACATTATGGTTAAGGAATTTGTAAGAACAAGAGGTGACCTCTGTCCTTCCTTCTTCCTATCCCTCAGTTTATCTTCTAGTATAAAACAGGAAACAGAGGTGAATGAAGACGTGGAATAGCACAGCTGTTTGTTAATGGGAAAAATGCATGTTATACCAGCCCTTGAAGAAAAACAGTTCCCACCTTGAGGAGCTTTTGGTGTTTGGACAGATGAGTAGATATTAGGGAGAAGGCTATATTAAATGCAGTCAAGTGCTCAGAGAGCCAAAGATTTTTAACAGTCACTCAAAGTTGCATAAACACTGTTATCACCACAGGAGTCCCTTTGAAGAGCAGTGATGACTGCTCTATCCCGCTATTGTTTAAGCATCCCCTTGGGTCTAGCATAATATCCTGTCTCTTTGCGAGCAGATTCAGGGGAGGACAGTGTTGCCAGTTTGCTGAAACCCCACAGTATTGAAAGCAAGTACTGCCTAGTGGAGAACCCAGCTTTTGGCACTGTTGTTTAAATCTTTGGTAGCATAACAGCTATCTTGAGAGACTCCTTGACCACGGAATGATGCGGTGATGCTGATACGTTTGACATGGCAGATAGGAGTGCATATGGGAGAAGCTCAGCCTGTTGCTGGGAGTAACACCTCCCTACTTTTTGCCCTTTTAGATGTCTAAATGTTTCCAAATGAAGAGCAAAGCTCTTTAGGAAGGTGAGAACTGGTCAGAGTCCAGAACAACTACAGGTAGAATTACTTTTCGTAGTTACCTTTCATAGACCTCTTAGAAGTTGTTCATAAACATTCCTGGCTTTTCAGAAATCATGTGTTGAAAAACAGTGCTTGAGTAGTAGGTTAAAAAGCATCTGGAAGAAAAAGGGTGAAACAACTTTTTCTATGTGTGCCCATGAGAGGGCAGCACAGACCGGCTGAGCCTTCGCTAAAGGCGATTAATCGGTAGGGAGACTAACTCGAGAGTTTATGTCCAGCCGTGGAGTAGCTACAAGTACAGAACAGGTCCGTGTGAAAGGGTTGGATGGTCCAAAGCACATCTCCATCCATCGCCCAGCTGAAACTAAAACGCAGGTATAGCTGGGTGCAGGACTGACTGGGTCAAACCCCAGGTGCATGACAGGGTTGAATCTCACAGACTTCTCCGGGTAGTTTCCAATTAGTTACTGAAACCTTAGAAGAGAGTTTCAGAGGAAGAATATCGGACAGTGCCTACAGTTTTGTCAAAGCAATGAGTCGGTGTGAGACATCAACCACACCCTTGACAAGGGAGAGCCTGTCACCCGGGAGTGCTATAAACTCGCCTAAGGCATGCATGCTATTTATTTCCATCCCAGTGCTCTTAAACACTGCACCGGCCAACACCCGTCTGCTATTCCCTTTTCCTTCTCCTACCGAGACTTTTTCGATGCAGCTTTAACTGTCCTCCCTCTTTCTCTCGGGTGCTACAGCCCTCTGGCAAGGTGGATGGTTCAGATGCTGAGATAAATGAGACATGCTTGCCACGCTTGGCTTACAGCAAGGGTGTTGGAAACTATATAGTGACAGGCAACCGTATGTAGATGGCAGTGCTCCACTGCCAGCACGTCACAGCCTCCCAGATGAGAGAGAAGCAGCTAATGCAGAGGAGGAATGCAGGATGGATTTGGGAGGAATGAGGTATCCCCAAACACCCTTCAATAATGAGCTCTAACAATTAATGTGAACAAATTTCTTTGGCACTTTGCAAACAAGCAGTAAAGGTCCCCAAATAGGACCTCTTCTTTCTACCATGTTGTGGCTCATGACTGACACACACGATTTTGGAGGAGAGGTTTTTAACCATTAGCAAGAGCAATGCAGTCACTGAGTCCAGGCAGAACAGCTTGTTCCCAGTCTGTTAGATGAAATTCAGCTGAACCACCAGCACCAAAGGACCATCACGGTGCCAAGGCCATTCAGGAGCCAGGATCACATCCTAACAGATATCTCAACACTGACATATGCAGTATTTCAGAAGCCCTAAAGCCATCAAACTCACAACCAAGAGCACTACGGAGACACTTTCTAGCAGACTTTCCCTGGACGTCATCAGCCTTTTAAAAAAACACAAGCAGAGAATTTCTGCCTTCTCAAAAGTATTTTCTCCTGCTACATATTTTGCAAAATCCCAGGCAATCCTTTGCCCAGGTGCAGATTTCTAGCCTTCTGTGAGCCTTCCCTGTGGTCAGAGCGAGATGGCCTGCCCTCATCCAAAGGTGAAATTCAATAGGAAACTGCATTGCATTTGCTGACCCTTTTATGCCATCGAGGGTGTTGGCTGGGCAGCACCATTCTTGCAGGGCTTGTCTCCCCTTTCCTGACAGGAGAAACTCCTGCTGATGGGAGGGGAGATGGGTCAGGGATTGACCTCAGGGGTCCCCCAGGCTCCTCCGTGTTCCTTTTATCTTCTGGTCTCTCAGTGTACAAAAATGTGACCTGTATGTTGCTGAAAGACATAGGTGAGTTCAGCAGCTCTATGATGCGGGTATTTTGGTTTGGGTTTTCCTTTGCAGAAATTAGCCTCGGGCCTGTGATGAGGATCTCCCATGAATTTCCTTCGCAGTCATCAGAGTAAGAGAAGCATCCTTAGGGGGAGATTTCGAGACCAAATCCCTCCCAATATGTACACGAAAGCACCCTGAGGGCCTTCTTTATTAATGGTAGTAGCAGCCAGTAGAGATTAGCCTTTATAAACATCCACTATTTCTCTAAACTTTTGAGTTGAGACCACTGAGGAAGGGAGCTACAGCAGCTGGCCTCATTGTTAACAATAGGGTACTGAGATTTAATTTGGTACTGCCTTTACCCACATGTGCAAACTTCACTATGAGCACTAGCCCAAAACTCCCTGGGGAAGCAGTTCCCTGCTTGAACCCAGTTCTTTACCAGACAGAGCAGCTTCCTCCAAGTTGTTTGTCCTTTCTCCTTGCTTGCTTGTCAAAAGGAGAAGAAATGGTCTCTTCCGAAAGGCTGAAAGTACAGATTTTTATATAATTACACCATTCCAGTTACTTAGGCTTTATACAAACACACAAAATTGCAAGTGTTAACAACACCAAAATACAGCCATGGTTATAAACTCATGAATAAAACTATGCTATAAAATTGGAAAAATAAGGTGTATCCCTCTCCTTTCCCAAAATATTAAGAAACCCCAATCCTTGAGAGCATGTTTTATAACATTCTTCTTAGGAATGAAGAGTGCAATGCCATATTAATGGGTGGATTATGCATTGCCAAATGCAAAATACCAGGGTTACCAGCATCACAAAGATGCCTGTATCTGGGTTTTCTGTAACGCTCTTCACCAAGGTATCTGAGGTTTTAGAAAGAAGTTACTTACTGCATTCCACATTATACTAAATATATACATACAGTTCTGCTTTTCAGTCTATATGTTTGAAGACTTAGCTGGAGTGGCTAGCCCAGCGACCCGCTGGTTTATCCCAACCCACTATAATTAGTCCATGGTTGTTGCTAACGGTATGCCATTTGTCTCCCCACACTCTGCACTGTTTGGTAAACAATTTCAGGGCCAGAGTTGTTCTCCCCTGATCTCCCTAGGTGGTGTTCACTTATTTATTCTCTGCACCCCACAGTTATTCCTCTCTCTTGAGGCTGAGAGGTATAGAAGTGGCCAAAAAAAAGGGCAAAAATGTTGCAGAAAGGGGAAGGCAGCTGTAACAAAAGCCACGGCCTGGCTGGGGAGGCAGGAGGCAAGGCTGGCACAAGGCCAGGCCAGCTGCAAACCCAAGGGGCGCAGCAGACATCTGTCCCCCATAGCCCGCATCCTTGCCCCCCATGCAGATACACCAAGATGGGAGAGGAGGTGGCCACGAGAAATTCCCTTCTCCTCTGGGGAGGAGCTGGCTCCTGGCCACGGCACGTGGAGGGCTTGGGCGGCTGGTGCGAGCCTCAAACCCAAATCTGGCCGAAGGAAGGAAGGTCAAACTATGGACAGGGAAGCAGCTGTTTACAGCCCTCCCGGGAATGCAGGAGCAAAGCCAGGTGGCAGGAATTGGGGCTGGGGGTGCTGGCAGCAGTGCCCTCAGGGGGAGGTCACTGACTCTGCCAGGAAACCTCCGCTCATGGGCAGCACCTTTGCAGCAGCTGCGGCAGCGATGCTCTGTGCTGTACACTGTTGCTGCATGCTGGAGGGACGGTCATTGAAAATGTCCCTCTCCTTGGGACAAACAGATGGTGTGTGTCAGGCTGAAGCTGTGTGTGGGTGCACAGGCTTGGCCAACACTGCAGCCACACTGCTAGGGATGTGGGATTTCCTGAGCCTTCTCCCTTAACTGTGAGACCCGATCTTCCTGTGCAACATTGCAAATGTAGTTTTGGAGCCTCCTGCTCGTGGATAGGAGTGGTTCCTTCATGATGCTGGCATGAGGTGATCACAGAAACAACTCCCGGGACCCTGCTGCTTTGGCCATAACCTCCTTTTCCTCCCTGTGTGCTCTCGCCCTCCCTAATTCCTCTCTCTCACATTCTCTCATTCTTTAATCAGTATTTCCATGCTATGGGGAAAAGAAATTCAAAGGATGCAGGAAGGTGAAAAAGTATTCTTAGAGATTAGGAGCAGGGGCAGCCCATTGGAATTTCTCACAGCATCCAATCAGCCCTTTCAGAATCTTTGTTCTCACTTCAGGCATCCCTCAGCATCCCTCCCATGCCAATTTTGAAAAAACACATACTTAATGACAGGCGTGTTCTGACATTGCCCTGTCACCCGTAGAGCACATTGATATAGTCAGGTGATAGATCTTCTGAGAAACTTCATTTTCCACCTCCATCTGAAAATGGGCCAGGCTGTGGCCTCAGCATCTGACTGTCCCTCCAAATGAAACCTCAAACTTCAATGTGTCTTCACACCCAAGCCAGCACTTTGCCTCTAACCCACATGCAACAGAGGTGAGCACGTATGTGGACTATGTCTGCATACACCTGAGGAAAGCGCATACATGTATGGATTTGTAAGTGTGCACATCCATGTGTGTGTACGTATGGCTGTGAGGGGATGTGTGCACTCATGAGTTTGTAGCTTTTGCAAGTGCAAGAGTTTGCACAAATGTATGGGTCTGGCGATATGGATGTTGGCACATTCTCCTCCAAGGTATGCCAGCACAGATGCAGACCTACAGGGGAGGCTAAAGCAGCTGCAGGCACCCCACTGGAAGTGTCTGTGGTGGCACCTGGGCTGCCCACCCCGTGGTTTATCAGCCCCACTGCACTCCCTTGCTCAGGCCTCGTTGTCTGACCCCCTGCTCTGCACACACACTCAGGCAGACTCAGAGTCTGACCTTACTAACACACACCAACAAAAGCACAAACAAACAAATCCCCCATCCCAACTCTCTCCATCCCAATACCAAATTTCTCTCCAGATATCACCAAAAATATCCTTACCCACTAAACCAGATTACCAACAAGCTGTGAGCAGTCAAATGGTGATGGCAGCTCAGGACTGACCACCACCCTCCCCAGCCTTACCCGCTCTTCCAGCCCAAACAAGGATTCATGTGAACAGCCTTTTGCAGCTTCCAGGACAGGGCTACAGAGCAGCAAGAGCTCAGCCACACCAGGGCTCTCACCCAACTGCCGCTCTCAGTACTGACAAAACTATGAACTTCACTACAAGCTTTCCTTTCTCTCTCTCTCCACTTTCCTCATCTTCTTTCCCCAAAACAGCATTTCCACACAGCTGAGATGCGATGGGGTGTCTTATCATGGACCCATGACCAACCAGGCCGTGACGCTCAGGGGATGCGCTGCTTATCCCGCCACCAGCTGCTCTCAACATCCAGCAGTGATGATGGTGTCAAATGCTTTTCTCCTCAGCACTGCTGGAAGATGGGGTAGCAAATGCACCAAAATAGACTTCACATGTTGTAGGGGGCACAAATAATGGACAAGCAGGTCTGAGTTATTTAGGTGTAGACAAATCTTCATCCTTACTCTTGAGCACCCAAGTGACAAATTTCTTGTCCCTCTCTACTAGATCAGGATGGCTGCATCGACTGGGTCTTCTTTTGCTTATTGATGTGATATCTTGTGGAGCTGGAAATGCCAAAAGCACTGTCCTTTCCTCAGAGTGAAATCTCATAGGGATCTCATGGGAGAACTGGATCTCTCTTCAGTTGTCTCCAAGTACCAAGGGGTTCCATAAAACGTTAGAGCTATTGCAGTTGTCACTTCTTTCTCACAAGATACTTGCAAGGATGGCTACCAAGGAGATATATAGATATAGTCTTTTGATGTCTGCTTCTGACTTGTGAAGGGCTGTAAAAACACAGAGATCCCATCACCCTTCCCAAGTCCATTATTCATTTGGCTGGTTTTTGCACCAGCAGATGAAGAACACCAAGCACAAGCACCTGCACCTTTGCCAGAGACTTACTCAAGGCTTCAGTAACAGGAATCATGACTTTTGGCAGACTTGTACTGCAATGGCTGAGGGACAGGAAGGTGAGAGATATTCCTTTTCTACTGTGCTCTTTAGCTTTAGCACCTCTCAGTTCATCACAGGCCAATTTTTATATACATATATATATATATATATATATATATATATATATGTGCTTGACTTAACTCAGTCTTAATAAAACTGAATGTGTAAAAATCCAGCCCAAGGAAATGCAATATTCTCCCCACTTTTCATGTTATCCAGTGTCTTGCAGAGTAGCCAACGCCTACATTTCTCTTTCCAAATGAAATCCCAAGCCAAATAAAAAGAAAACATATCCAACCAAAACCACTGGATTTTCCCCACGCAATGTAATTAAATGAAAACATTAAAATTAATTTCCTCTTTTTCTGGTCAGTACATTTTTCTTATGCCCATGTTCAAACAGCAGTCCAGAAATCCTTATATTTATATTTATATTTATATCCTTCCAACTTGCCTGTGCTCTTTAAAGTTCAAGTATTTTGTACCAGTGAGTCATTCATCCACCCTTTTGAGAGTATAATAATAGAAATTCTTTAAAGCTGCGTGTTTTCGGCACAACGGCATTCCGATGCGATCTAAGAATCACAGAGGGGAACAGGTTTGGCTAGAAAAAAAGTTTTCCTCATGTGATGGGCACCCTACCAATCACACAGCACTTTCCTCAAGCAACCAGGGATCTTTAAAGCCCAGTAGAGGTGGGAGAAAGGGACTTTTTCAGCTTTGAAGGTGGGTCGGGATTTCTGTTGGGAAGCATCACAAGAAGGGAAGGGTGAGTGCCTTGCTTTGGTCATTGTCTTTCTCTTAACGAGGCATGTGAGCAATAAGTGTCTGTTAGGAGAAAAGGAAGCTTTTATGTTTAATGTTTTCATTTCAGTCCCTGGGCTGTGTTTAGTATGTGAGAGTCTGGTACCTGGATAAGGTTAACTGCAGAAGATTATTAAGTATTTCATTTTTCTTACCTCAAGCTGTGTCTTCTCTATAGCTGTTTTAATTTGTTTCTTTTTTTTTCTCCTAAAGACTGGGGAGGAGGGAATGGGGAAATTAGATCTGTTGCAAATATATCTCAGTGTTAAAAAAAAAAAAAAATCACAGAAAAAGATGAATCTTGTCATTCCCCCTCACTTGTGAAAATAGGAAAGGCAAAAAATCCCCCTCTTGTTTTGGCTGTGCTGAACTAATGAGGGAGAGAGGAAAAACCTACCTCCCAGTTCTATTTCCAAGGTAATTATGCTTGATGATGATTTACCAGCCACTCCACGGTTCACACAGGCTTCATTTCATAGCAATCTCTCTTGAAAGGAAACTTAATTAGTCTCTGACCCCTGCTTGATGCTGAGCTTTGTTTTTGCTTTATTTTTCTCCCCTGGTAGCACAAAAGGACTGTCTGGCTCTTCCTTTTCTGAGTATGCTTGATTCCTGGCGCACAAACTGTTCTCTATCAGAGGTGGCTGCATTCTGTGGCCAGTGGAGCGATGAGGAAAGTCTGGCAGGGCAGGAGGAGTATGTGGGGTTGTGTGTGCTGGAGGTGTTTGCTTTAAAATAAGTAAACAAATGATGAATTGACACGGTTTCTTACAGCAAAGTCTGAGTGAGTCTTCAATCATATTT